GTGTGTGTGCTTGTAAAATCCTCCTGCACGACCTGGTGTCGAGCTAGAGTCAGAAACTCTTGAGTTGGCAGACGGGACAGCAATTGCACGGAGATAATCAAGAGTTAACAACACTTCACCTGCTTCGTAAAAATATGAACCCAGCATGCTGCCTTTTCAAGTGTTCCAAATAAAAAACGTTCCCATTTTATTGTCAGATTTCTATCTTGATCGCGTGTACTCTTGTTTAGTTCGTTTCTAACTCTTCTTTTTTTTGTTTTTACAGCACTGATATTGTTACGGATATTTTAGCATAGGGCTGCCGCAGTGTTTCAATTGTGTTAGAAGGTAGACGTACACCCATACACACACATACACACACACATACACAAACACACACATACACATACACAAACACACACACACATACGTACAAACACACACGCGCGCACACACACTCACGTGGACACTCAAACATGCACATTAAAACGCACATATGCACACACACATAAACACACACACACACACACGCACACACACACACACATACACACACATCGTGATTACTCTCACAGACACATACGCGCATGTACGAGTGTGCGTTCGGGTATTAATGTATTTTTATGATTTTGAACAAAAAGATGCACACAGGCGCACAAGAAGAGTCATTTTGTCCTTGGAAAAAAAAAGGTAAGAAGTCAGAACAACAGAAGGAAGGTGAAGAAGTGGGACAGAATCATTACCAACAGCGGCAGTGCTAAACCATCTGCGCCTGCTCACTCATACAGGTACATAATCTTTAAAAAAACAGTTTTAGTAAGAGTTTTACGGCCTTTGTAACACAATAAGGTCATATAAGTGCCGAAGATTAGAGGTGTTACAAGAGAGAAACAAATGTAAAAGAAGGAGGAGAGATCAGGACGATAGATATTTGATTGGAAAGAAGAAGCAAACCACACCAGAGCATCCGCCAACCACCCACGTACATAATATACACACTATTTACAACTAGATTCCACTGCTCGTCCAAAAGTAACTGTTTCTTTTTCCCCCTTCATTGTATTTAGCTCTAAATCTTGCTTCTTTCTGCTCACATTATGTTTTTCTCCACTCGAACCCCCCC